GTAACACTGTGACCAGTGCCCTTGTGAACATTTAATGGTGTAACGCAAAAAAGGTCATGCAGTTCATATTTCTGTTCTGTTTTGTGGTAATTACTCTTGTCATCAAAGGGCATGTGACAGGAAGTGGGGAGAATTCTCTGAGCCTTAGGACTATTTAAACAGGAGGGAGAGGGGCCGGGCGCGGTGGCTCACGCCTCTAATCCAAGCACTTTGGGAGGCCGAGGCAGGCAGATCACGAGATCAGGAGATGGAGACCATCCTGGCTAACACGGTGAAACCCCGTCTCTACTAAAAATACCAAGAAAAAAAACATAGCTGGGCATGGTGGTGGGCGCCTGTAGTGCCAGCTACTCCGAAGGCTGAGGCAGGAGAATGGTGTGAACCCGGAAGGCGGAACTTGTGGTGAGCCTAGATCACGCTACTGCACTCTAGTCTGGGCGCCAGAACAAGACTTTGTCTCAAAAGAATAAACAAATAATAAATAAATAAATAAATAAATAAATAAATAAAAATAGGAGGGAGAAGCCCCTGGGAGCTATTAAGCTCAGCCATTAGCAGAGTCATTTTGCACTGCAAACTTCATTACAGTGATTCCAGAGATAGTACTTTAAAATGAAATTTGTATAATGTCGCAGTTGAGAGTTTTCTGCACTCAAGAAATGCACCACAACAGCACAGACTGGGGTGAGACAAGAAGGAGCAGAGGGGCACCAGAAGCAGCCTAGGAAACTTACAGCGTTGCAAGAAAGAGAGGAATCTAGACTGCGGAACAGCCTGTCCTCTTCGCTGTGCTTGTCAAAAGGTTTTTACCTCAGAATCCCAGGGTATATCTTTGTTATAAACAACAAGTATATGTCTAAGTTAACAGCTTAGTAACCTGAGTACAGTTATGTAACAGAAGTTTTAATCATTTTCCACATTTTCTTTTTTCTTTTTTTTTTTTTCTTTTTTTTGGTCATCTTAAGGATTTCTGGACTGGGTGAATCTTATCTGCATTTGGCAATCACGATTCTGAGACTGTGGATGGCTAACGTCAAGGAAGCTGCCTTCTTTAGAGAATATCCCCTCTGTTTATTTCTGTCTGGCAGGATGCAATCTCTCTTTACTGCCACTATTCCTGTATATACCTTCTAGTTCCATTTTTTGCTGACCCTTGAGAACTGGCTCTTAACCTCTACTCCATGCCAACAGAATTATTAGGAAACCATCGAGAACTGTCCTTCACTTTGTGACAGCTGGAGACTCTAAGTACAAAATAGCAGGTCATTCTGACTATGACCAATTGGACAGATAACCATGCTGCTTTCTTTTTCACAGGAAATTGTGTAACTCTGGAATTTTAGAGGTGAGTGTGGTCACGTACAGACTTTGCTAATGAGTACACTGACTTGCCCTAGCACAGTGTGAGCATTGCTGATACTATTCTCCCCTATCGGTCAGGTCATGACTATTTTGGAAATGATCTGTCAGATAGGTCTTCAGTCATGTCACCATCCCCCTTTGGCTGCACATTAATGGGGTCATGGCCCTAGTCGTCAGCTCCTGGGATGTAAAATGGTCCCAGGCAACGGAAGAGAGAAAGCCCAGACTCTAACATACAGAAAGCCTTAACATACAGTAGTACTATGGGAAAGAGACTTTTAAAAAACAGCATAAGAATGTAGCTGAATCCTCCATTCTTGTTCTCTCACTACCTTGACTGTTATAGAAATCAAAGCATGTGATTTATCAAAAATGAAATAGAACCACAATAATATAATTTTTAAAAAGATTGAAGAACAACCCTTTTTAAAGGAATAACTTCATTCACTACTTTGACTACACAGAAATTTAATGCATGACTTTCTTGAAACGCTCTCCTCTCATAACACCCCTGGCCCATTTTCTCTTGCTTTGACCCCATGTGAGGGTTCTATACACTGCATAGCTCTTAACACTGATTTGTGTCCGGGTCTTAATTTACAAAAGGTGACTGAGTGACAATTCTGAGAGGCCAATGCCATTGAGAGAAAAGCTTACTGCTAGTCATGGCTCCCCTGGAAGCAGAAGACACAGCACACTATAGAGGGCCATGTGGGAAAGCACCGGAGTAGCTCCAGGCCGGGCTTCCCAGTCTGTCTGCACTCTAGAAGGAGTTTGCCTGGGTTGGGGTTGTCACATGGTAGATTCCAAACCTTCGTTTTGTCAGTTTACTTAAAGGTGACTGGGTTTAAAGGTGCTGATTGATTGTGAATAGCTTGGAGAGTAAATCATTATTTATTAATAAAGTTAAATAATTCATGTAAAATTAAAGTATAATAAAGCATAATAGCCATAATTTATATTATTTATATTATTATTATTTTTTCAATTTGGAGGCATTCCATCCTTGTTTATAGATTCACTCAGAAAATTGTATTATGGAACACAGTTTCCTTCCCAAGTATAGAGTTTGAGCAAAAGGGTAGGTATTTTTTAGAAATTAATTTTGTAATTAATTTTGTAAATTAATTTTAATTTGTATTTTAAGTTCTGGAGTACATATGCAGGATGTGTAGGTTTGTTACATAGGTAAATGTGTGTCATGGTGGTTTGCTGCACCTTTCAATCCATCATCTAGGTATTAAGCCCGCATGCATTAGCTATTTTTCCCAATGTTCACCCTCCCCCTTACCCCACCCCCCGACAGGCCCCAGTGTATGATGTTCCCCTCCCTGTGCCCATGTGTTCTCATTGTTCAGCTCCCACTTATAAGTGAGAGCATGCAGTGTTTGTTTTTCTACTCCTGCGTTAGTTTGCTGAGGATAATGGCTTCCAGCTCCATCCATGTCCCTGCAGAGGACATGATCTCGTTCACAAAAGGGAAGATACTCTTAAAGCATGTTTCTTTTCTTTTTTCTTTGACATTTTAAAAATTAACATGATTTCTGTCTGAATACTGAGTACTCATTATTAGAATAAGAGCACCTTCCAACAGCTGTGCAGGTGACACATTCCATTGACACATTCTTAGTCTTTGAATCTCTTCTGTTAAGAATTCATACAGATTACTACCCTTCCATTCAACTCCATTTACTAAATCATACTTCGTCCACCTGATAAGTCAAAGTTTGGAACTGTGTTCTTAAATGAATGAATGAATTGGTTAATTAAACATTCTTGGTGAAATTTGGGCAATATCTTTTGCAGTTTCTTAAAGAATGCTCTAGTTTTATCAGCACCTTTGAAAGTCTCAGACTTGAATGTTTCTATGGAGGGAGTTACTTGCATCCATATTTCATAAGTTCTTAATAGTTTTAATATCAAATAATGAGGTATTACTGCTAATTTTGTCTGATTTTATAATAGCATTTTTACTATATTACTTTTTTTTTTTTTTTTTTTTTTTTTTTGAGACAGAGTCTCGCTCTGTTGCCAGGCTGGAGTACAGTGGTGTGATGTCAGGTCACTGCAACCTCTGCCTCCTGGGTTCAAGTGATTCTCCTGCCTTAGCCTCCCGAGTAGCTGGGACTACAGCCATGTGCCACCACGCCTGGCTAATTTTTGTATTTTTAGTAGAGAGAGGGTTTCACCATGTTGGCCAGGATGATCTCCATCTCTGGACCTCATGATCCGCCTGCCTCGGCCTCCCAAAGTGCTGGGGTTACAGACGTGAGTCACCACACCCAGCCACTATATTACTTTTTAAAAGTTATTTTATGCTGGAGATACATAGTGGAGTATTTTGGAGTGAAATGATATAGTATCAGGAATTTGCTTGATTACACTCCAGGTTTTCATGTACTGCCTACACAGCTAAGAAGCTAGAAAGTAAAAACCTGAACTCTTGTTTAACCAAGCTCTGATTTCAAGTATTCTTACTTATTGTCTAAAGAAAAGGCTGTTAGCCAACTCACAAGACATTTCTAACCCAGTCTCCCTTGTTCCTTTCATGATAGAGGCTACAAAATTCTTTTCCAGTCTCCTCTGCAGTTAGGAGTAGCCAGCTAATAATGGTTTTGACCAATAAGACAAAGGCAGAAATTGGCTGGTGTCTCCTCAGATGTGACTGATGCTCCCCCTTTTTCCATCTTCTCTGCCTTCAATGTGGATGTAATATCTGGAGCTGCAGCAACCATTTTGCAACTGTGAGGCAACAATTATGAGGAAAAGGCCAAGGGAATTAAAGACACTGGCCCTCATATCATCAAATTGCTAAACCAGGCTGGGTGCAGTGGCTCATGCCTGTAATCCCAGCACTTTGGGAGGCCGAGGCGAGTGGATCACTTGAGGCCAGGAGTTCAAGACCAGCCTGGCCAACAAGGTGAAACCCTGTCTCTACTAAAAATACAAAAATTAGCCAGGTGTGGTGGTGCACACCTGTAGTCCCAGCTACTGGGGAGACTGAGGCAGGAGAATTGCTTGAACCAGGGAGGTGGAGGTTACAGTGAGGCAATATCATGCCACTGAACTCCAGCTTGGGCAACAGAGTGAGATTCTGTCTTAAAAAATTGCTAAACCAATCCTAGCAGCCACTTACCTCCAAACATTTTTATTATATAAGACAAACAGCACTGATAATTCTCTCTTAGCTGGGTTTTCTGTTGCTTATAGAACACATCCCCCCTAACTGCTTAGTACTGCCAGATATGAGCTCAGAACTTGAGTCCCCCGGCTCGCCCCCCCACCTTTTTTTTTGTTCTGGAAAACTGAAAATTATATATTCTGTAATCTATCATCTTCCAATCCTAAGGCACAATATAATATATAGATTTGCATTTCAAAGATTGATTTAAATGCTTACACATGCTATGAGAATTTAATTTTTTTAAAGGTTTACAAATGTTGCAGTCTAGGGTAAAGTCTTGGGTTGCATACATTTGGTACATTTTATAACTGAGCAAGACTTTTCTCTTGCTCTCTTTGTCTCTCCTACCTACCCCCATTGCATTTGTTAAAACCTTATTACATCACTCACAAGACAATACAGACACCACTTCAGGGTCAATTTATGAAAACAAGAAGCAGCTCTCACACAAAACTTACTAAGAAAACTTTTATTTCAAACTACTTTTCCTGGCACATTGTCATGAAAGTCTTTAGCTGGTTCCTCCCAGACTCCTTTGTCCCTGGAGTTTTCCTTCTTTGGCAGCTTTGCCTTGGTTTGTAAGCTTGTCAATATTCATATCATATCAAATATTTATGCTGTAGAAAAGGAAGTTTCAAAAATAGATAATATTATATAATAGCATGTAGTTCTAAGTTAAAATACTAAACCAAAATGATTGCATACATTTAAGGAATAAACACAAAATATATATTAGTCTTAGGAACATCCTTAAAATGATTACCATCACTTTTGCCACAAAAAGTTTACTTACTAAGTTAATAGCAACATCAATATCACCCTTCTGTGGGAACAGATGACCTATAAATCCAATCAAATTTGACTTTATATTCTTTGAAATGCAAAATCTACTTTCCCAAAGAAAGAGTGTTAGCAGTGGGGGATTTATTTCATGGACAGCACACCAAAGTCTCTTTTACTAAGAATGTGCATGAACACTGATAGGAATAAGGGTAATGATTATTAGAATTGTATCAATAATGATATTATTGACATTAATAGGATGTTGTAGGTAAAAATTATATTGGTGGCTAATCAGTTTTTGGTTTTGTTGACAAACGTAGTCCTGATATTGAGAGAAGATTCTGAGAAACTGTTCATGCAGACACTCCTTTCTCTGTTTCAGAGGCTCCGCTCCATCAGCCCTGCAAAGAGCCCCACAGAGAAAATATTCACATAACTTGAGAGCTGCATGGTATATTTTAAATTGTGTATGATATATATGTTCAATAGGTTTCCTAATTTTGAAAGTAATTTAAACTTTACAGAAACCTTGGAAGAAACAGATTATTAGTGAGATTTATTCTTTCTTAATACATATCTTATCATTTTCTTAATAAATCTCACTAATAATTTCACTACCTAGAGAGAGTCATCAGTAACATCTCACTAAATTTCTATTCAGTCTTCATATATATATTTCAGACACTATTTTGTAGACTGCTTTTTTTGCCACCCAATATGGTATTATAAGCATTTACTGATTAAAATTTTTAAGACATAATTTTTAAAGTTGGATATTTTAGATGATATGTTGCAATTTTTACACACATTACGTATATCATTTGCTTGTTTTCAGTTTTCCATTAGCATAAAATAATGTGGTGATACATATTTTTCTTCATTGTTGATAATTTTCTGAGATCAAATGCCAGGTGGAAATACTGAGTCAAAATATGGGGATCATGATTTAGGTTCCTGCAAGATCTGCAGAACCAATTTACTCATCCACCAAAGTATATGCAATGCACCCTATCTCACTGCACTGTTATTGATGCTATCATTAAAAATAGATAAATATTTGCCAAAATATACTCAAAAAGGTATTGTATTGTTGCTTAAATGTGATTTTGAAGTGATTTGATTATTGGCAAGTTTGGATATTTTTATAGGTTCAAAAGATATTTGTTTTTGATCTTCTATGAATTGTCTGTTTATACCTTATATGTATATCTTATGTGAATCTGGAAATTACATTTAACTCTGGAGTATCTTTTATCAGATCATGAAAAGTTATCTGAGTTTTACAAAGAAAATAAAACTAGAGTATCTTGGTCATCTCCAAATAGTAATCTTTGAATGAATGAGTGGCACATCACATTATGTGACTGTACAATGCATTTATAATATCCTTATAGAAATACTACATTTGTTTAAATATCACTTCTAATTAATTTAGCCAATGGATCTTACCTTTTCTTTCAAGTACAGTGTAAGTGCTTTCCATTCCAGCACCAATGTGCTCAAAAACATGGCAATGAAATAACCAGGTTCCAGCATCTCTTGGATACATTTTTACAGTTCGATAGACCCCAGGAGGAAGGTCATAAACATCAGATCGATACACTCCCCAATCCTTAACAAGGAGATTAAACACCATTACATGGCTTCTAAAAGATGTCACTTTACCACTTGCTATAATTCCCAAATTCTGATATACCTAATTAGGTAACAATTAGAAAGCATTAGGTGCTGGGCTGGGCACGGTGGCTTATGTCTGTAATCCATCACTTGGGAAGCTGGGGCGGCAGGGGAGGATGATTTGAGCTCAGGAGTTCAAGACCAGCCTGAGCAACATAGCAAGCTCCTCATCTCTAAAAATATATATATTTTTAAAAATTAGCCAGGCGGTGGTGCGTGCCCATAGTCCCAGCTACCTGGGAAGCTGAGGTGGAAGGATTGCTTGAGCCCAGTTCAAGGCTGCAGTAAACTATGATCACGCCACTGCACTCCAGTATTCCAGCTTGGGTGACAGAGCAAGATGCCATCTGAAAAGGAAAAAGAAAGGGAAGGAGAGGAGAAGGGAGTGGAGGGCAAGAGAAGGGAGTGGAAGCCAAGAGAAGGGAGGAGAGGGGAGGAGAGGGGAGGGAGAAAGAAAGGGAAGAGAAAAGGGAAAGCAAAGGAAAGGAAGGGAAGAGAAGGGAAAGGAAGGGAAGGGAAGGGAAGAGAAGGCAAGGCGAGGCGAGGCAGGGCGGGGCGGGGCGGGGCAGGGCAGGGCAGGGATTAAGCTATTAAAGCTATTTTGTTCTCTTCTCTGAGTACACTTGAGGCTTTGGAGAAGTAAGTCCCAGAACATTCCAGTGTTAGGTAGAACGCAAAGAAAATGTTTCACTCTACAAGGGTACCTGTAGTTAGTACTGGTGTCAGAAACTTGCCAATGTCTCACACCACTGAGCACTCTAGATTTCAGAGAACTTCTAGTCTCAAATCCCAAAGGTTCTAACGGACATATTTCTAACTCAAGATGTTATGTTGATGTGACATAACATGTTGATGTGAAAGATTGTCATTTCTTGAGATGCAGCTAATCAGAAAAACTCATTGTTACAGGAAAGAGAAGGGGAAAGGGAGGAGAAGGGAAGAGGAGCTCCCTTGGCATCTGCAACCAAGTCTGCCTTCTGGAGATTGGAGCTGAGGGCTGAGGGCACTTTTTAGCTAATTTCTCTCCTAAGCAAAGAACGCAATATTTAGGAAACTATCTCTGTAGGCTGCTTAGAGTTTTAGAGATGAAGTCCTAGGCCCTAGTCCAGATGGATTGAAAGAGACTAAAAGGAAGGTGAATTGCTCTACAAAATAAAATGAGAAGTATTTGGAGGATGGTGGTAGGGGTGGGTTGGGGAACTGCAGCTTAAGAGTTCTGAATAATTTGAGGAGAGAAGGGATGCCAGAGAGTCTAGAGAGGAAAAATGTGGAGAAACAAGTCCTGAGGGTAAGCATAAAAGGCAAATGAGCTAGAGGCTCTCAGTGATGGTGGTGAAAGGGTAATTGGGGGTGGGGCATCTAATGTCACATGGTAAGTGCTTTCATTATGTAGCACTGAAAAAAAAACTTCATTTATCCCTACTCTTTCACTAAAAGTCTGTGACTCACGATGACCTTGATTTTGTGGTTGGTTAAGAGTACCAAAGGAAATGGGATTGCTGCATGTTTGGAATTGCACACAGATATGAAAAAATACCAGCCACAGGAGTTGAGAGGCAAGGGAGATGAGCAGAAGCAGGAAGTTAGAGTTGGGGTGAATAGAAGACATTTAAGCTCTCAAGACTCCCTGCAGATATCGGAAGGCTTAATTTTGCAACTAAAGTGAAAATAATACAGATGACCTAGGATACACTTTTTGAATATCAGAAAAATGTAGAGAACAGTATGAAAAAAAAAATCTAACTACAAATTGGCAATGTCCAAAGCACCAGTAAATGTGGAAAATATACCTAGAGCCCTGGCACCCAAGCAGACTGTAGCTTTAGGGAACAAGCTGTGACTGGCTGGCTTGTCCCAGAACTCAGTTAGTAACCACAGAGGGCTGCTTCACTGCCCTGGGAGTTTCAGGGAATAGAGCCCAGTGTCTGCATAGATGCTGGTGTGATAGCATTCTGCCTCAAGGTGGGAGGCTAGATATATCCTGCAATGGGTTTAGAGTGAGTGGTTAAAGTTGAGAGCCAGTGATACTAGGCTCTGTGATATAAATAGGATTATACTTAAGGGAGGCGGTTTTGTGAAGCACTAAAGAGTTCAGACTCTAGAGTGAGAGCCAGGGTTTAAATCCAACTTCTATCACTTCCTGCTTGTAGGAAAGTTCCCTATTTTGTTAATGCTTCATATAATTTCCCTGCAATTGTCCCTGAAAAACAATTCTGATTTCCTTTCAGCTCCATGCAACACTTAGCATGGTTCTAGGCATGTTAGAGGCATTTGCTGGACTGAACTATTATATTTGACAAAATCAGATAATCTGTAAAACATGATGACCAGATTTTAAATATCTCTTTTGGCCCAATTTTTTTTTTTTTTTTTTTTTTTTTTTGACAGAGTCTCACTCTATTGCCCAGGCTAGAGTGCAGCAGCGTGATCTTGGCTCACTGCAACCTCCACCTCCTGGGTTCAAGTGATTCTTCTGCCTCAGCCTCCCAAGTAGCTGGGACTACAGGCACCTGCCACCACACCTGACTAATTTTTTGTATTTTTAGTAGAGATGGGGTTTCACCGTGTTAGCCAGGATGGTCTCGATATCCTGACCTTGTGATCTGCCCACCTTGGCCTCCCAAAGTGCTGGGATTACAGGCGTGAGCCACCACACCCAGCCCTCTTTTGGCCCAATTTTAAAAGTCTTTAATATAAACACTTATGAAATGAGTAATCCTAATATGTAGGCTTTTGCTTTAAAAAAAATGGGGAGTGTAGATGAAAGTGTAGTGAGTTTACGGTGATTAGATTTGGGTAATAGAGTTTCGTTACATTATTCTGTTTATTATATAAAATTCTCCATAATAAAGAGTTTTTACGCCAAAAATAAATATAAGAGGAATAAATTTGTTCATTAAATGGTGGGAAATAAAGCAGCACACCAATAAGGCTTTGTGCAAACCAAAAGGTGCTTGCTTATCTAAGTTATTTGTACGATAGACACTGCATTAAAGAAGCTATTAACATAATACATCTGGAATTCAGGAAAGCTTTATCTGAAACTTTTATCTGTGTGGAAAAGGTGAACTGTACTAATGCCTAGTGGTTGGATTAAATGTCTAAGGTGTGAAACACAGAAAATATAATTGATCCTAAATTATACATTAATGTTTACATAAGGAATTAGGATGAAGAAATAAAAAGCTCTTTAAGTAAACATTAATGAATGATACAAACTTGGAAACTGAAAGAGGAAGGATAAAATTTAAAATACTTATCATAAAGAAATGATGAGTCAAAAGTGGTCATGATAACAATTGTAAAGAAGTGTGGGGGAGGGGCCAAGATGACCTATTAGAAGCAGCTGTGGTCTGCAGCACTCGCGGAGAGGAATGAAAGAAGCAAGTGAATTCAGCAACTTCTACTGAAATATCCAGGTTCTTGCATTGGGACTGACTAGGCAAACCACTCGGATCCATGGAGAATGAACAAAAGCAGGGTGTGGTGACAGCCCATGTGGGAGTGGCATGGAGCCAAAGGAACTCCCAACCCCAGCTAAAGAAAGTGGTGAGTGGTTGTGTGACACCACCCAGGAAACCATGCTTCTCCCATGGATCTTTGCAACCTGAGGATTAAGAGATCCCCTCATGAGCCCATGCCATCAGGGCCTTGGTCCCATACACAAAACTGTATGGACTCAGCAGAGCAGCCATGGAGTCACACACGGAGACGCAGAAGTTTTATATACTCCGGCCCCAGGAATCCTGGCAAGTCAGGAGATCCATCCATACATTCCCCTAGAAAGGGGGCTGAATCCAAGGAGCCAAGCAGCATTGTTCTGCAAGCCCCAATTCCATGGCACCTCACAAGTTAAGACCCACTGGCTTGGAATTCCAGGCAGCCAATGGAAACAGGTTGGAAACTGCCTGGGACAGCACAGAATTCCTAGGGGGAAGGACAACCACCATCTCTGTGGTTCAATCAACTCAGCTGTTTCAGCCTGCCAACTCTGGAAAGCCCAGGCAGTCCGGATGAGGAGGGATCCCCTACAACACAGCACCGTCACTCTGCCAGATCATACATGGCCAAACTACTTCTTTAAGTGGAACCCTGATCCATTCCTCCTACTGGGCAAGGCCTCCCTGCAGGGGTTTCAGCAACTCTAGCCAGGGTTATACAGACGGAACTCTGACCTCTCCCTGAGACAGAACTCCCAGGGAAATGGGCAGCTGCCATCTCTGCAGTTCAGTTGACTCAGCCATTCCACCCTGCTGGCTCTGAAGAGTCCAGGAAGGGTCCCCAGCAATGCAGCACTCCTGCCCTACCAAAAAGCACCCAGACTGCTGCTTTAAGCAAGTCCCTGAACCTGTTCCTCCTGACTGGGCAAGACCTCCCAACAGGGGTCTCCAGACACCTCCTACAAGAGCATTCGGGCCAGCAACAGGTTAGTACCCCTCTGGGATGGAGCTTCCAGAGGAAGTATCAGGCTGCCATCTTTGCTGTTTTGCAGTCTTCACTGTTGATACTTCCAGGTACAGGAAAAACCAAGGCAACTAAGATCTGGAGCAGACCCCCAGCAAACCACAGCAGCCCTATGGAAAAGTGGCCTGACTGTTAAAAATAAACAAAGAGAAAACAACAACGACATGAGACCCCTTAAAAGCCTCATTCAAGGGTCAGCAACCTCAAAGATCAGAGGTAAATAAGCCCACAAAGATGAGAAAAAATCAACGTGCAAATGCTGAACACTCAAAAAGCCAGAGTGCCTCTTCTACTCAGCTGAGGCTGAGACGGCTGAATTGACAAAAGTAGGCTTCAGAAGGTGAGTAATAACAAACTTCACTGAGCTAAAGGTCCATGTTGTAACCCAATGCAAAGAAACTAAGAATCATGATAAAACAATACTGGAGCTGATAACCAGAATAGCCAGTTTAGAGAGGTACATAACTGAACTGATGGAGCTGAAAAACAACACGAGAACTTCACAATGCAATCACAAGTAACAATAGTACAATAGACTAGATGGAGGAAAGAATCTCAGAGCTTGAATACTATCTTTCTGAAATAAGACAGGCAGACAAGAAGAGAGAAAAAAGAATAAAAAGGAATGAATAAAACTTTTGAGAAATATGGGATTATATAAAAAGACTGGACCTATGACTGATTGGGGTACCTGAAAGAGATGGGGAGAATGGAACCAAATTGGAAAACATTCTTCAGGATATCATCCAGGAGAACTTCCCCAACCTAGTAAGACAGGCCAACATTCAAATTCTGGAAATACAGAGAACCCCAGTAAGATACTCCATGAGAAGATCAACCCAAGACACAAAATCATCAAATTCTCCAAGATTGAAATGAAAGACAAAATGTTAAGGGCAGCCAGAGAGAAAGGCTAGGTCATCTACAAAGGAAAGCCCATCAGACTAACCGTGGACTTCTCAATGGAAACCCTATAAGCCAGAAGAGATCAGGGGTCAATATTCAACATTCTTAAAGAAAAGAATTTCCAACCCAGAATTTCATATCTGGCCAAACTAAGCTTCTTCATAAGTGAGGAAAAAATAAGATTCTTTTCAGACAAGCAAATGCAGAAGGAATTTGTCACCACCACCCTGCTTTGCTCCAGAAGGAAGCATTAAATATGGAAAGACAAAACCATTACCAGTCACTATAAAACCTCAGTGAAGTACAGAGACCAGTGACACTATGAAGCAACCATATAGTGGTTTATGAAGCAGCCACATAAACAAGTCTGCAAAATAACCAGCTAGCATTATGATGACAGGATCAAATTCACACACTAATCTTAAATGTAAATGGGCTGAATGGCCCAGTTAAGAGAAACAGAATAGCAAGCAGGATAAAGAACCAACACCCATCTGTATGCTGTCTTCAAGAGACCCATCTCACATGCAGTGACACCCATAGGCTTGAGATAAAAGGATGGAGGAAAATTTAGCAAGCAAATGGAAAACAGAAAAAAAGCAATCCTAGTTTCTGACAAAACAGGCTTTAAACCAACAAAAATAAAACAAGACAAAGAAGGGGATTACATAATGGTAAAAGGTTCAATTCAACAAGAAGCACTAACTATCCTAAATATATATGTGCCCAATACAGAGCACCCAGATTCATCATGCAAGTTCTCAGAGACCTACAAAAAGACTTAGACTTCCACACAATAATAGTGGGAGACTTTAACACCCCCTCCTAACAATATTAGACAGACCATCAAGACAGAAACTTAACAAAGATATTCAAGATCTGAACTCAGCTCTGGATCAAGCAGACCTGACAGATACATACAGAACTCTCCACACAAAAACAAAAGCATATACATTCTTCTCATCACCACATGGTACTTAACTCTAAAATTGATCACATAATCAGAAGTAAAACACTCCTTAGCAAATGCAAAAATAATTAAAACCACAACAGTCACTCAGACCACAGCATGATCAAATTAGAAATCCATTTTAAGAAACTCATTCCAAACCAGTCGGGCATGGTGGCTCATGCCTGTAATCCCAGCACTTTGGGAGGCCAAGGTGGGCAGATCATGAGGTCAGGAGATCGAGACCATCCTGGCTAACACAGTGAAACCCCATCTCACTAAAAATACAAAAAAATTAGACAGGCGTAGTGGCAGGCACCTGTAGTCCCAGCTGTTCAGGAGGCTGAGGCAGGAGAATGGCATGAATCTGAGAGGTGGAGCTTGCAGTGAGCCGAGATCATGCCACTGCACTCCAGCCTGGGCAACAGAGCAAGACTCCATCTCAAAAAAAAAAAAAAAAAAAAAAAGTACCAGACTCTTGTAAGTTCATTCTCTCCTGGATCAGGAAAAAGACCTGGAAAGGGAAGAAGATTCTCTGCAGAATACAGATTTTCCCCATAACAGTTAGATTTGCAGGGCTGTTTCAAAAAATGTCAAAGAAATATATTTTAGGGTAAAATACTTTGATTTCCTAATTTAGGGCCTGCTAACTGTCATGTTGGTATCTTATTACTACAAAGAGTCTGTTCTTTCAGTCTTAAGGTCTTCATTTTAATGTTAATGCTGGTCAGCTAAGAATGAATTCCAAAGGGTGGAGAGTATAATGAGGCATATCCAACCCTCACTTCCCATCATGGCCTGAATTAGTTCTTCAGGTTAACTTAGGAATGCACTTGGTCTAGAGGATACTTAGAATTTTATTCAATTTTTCAATTGTTTGGGGGGCTTAGAATTTTATTTTTGGTTTACAGTGAGGATTGGTCACCAGAAAGCCCAGGGCAGGATTAGAGGATTGGGACTTTCAGCCACATCCCCTAACCTCTGGGGAGGGAAGAGAGGCTGAAGGTTAAGTTAATCATCAATGGCCAATCATCTAATGAATCATGCCTATGTAATGAAGCCTCCATAAAAACCCAAATGGACAGGATTCAGAGAGGCTTCAGATAGCCAAACATGTGGTTCCTGGAGGGTAGCTCACCTGGAGAAGGGATAGAAGCTCCATGTGCTCCTCCCATACCTTACCCTAGCATCTCTTCACCTGGTATTCATTAACACACTTTCTAATATCCTTTTTGATAAACCAGTAAATGTAAGCAAGTATTTCCCTTCATTCTGTAAGTCATTCTAGGGAATTAATTGAATTCAAGGAGGGGGTCATAGGAATCCCAATTTATAGCCTGCTGCACAGAAGCATATGAAAACAACCTGGAGCTTATGATTGGCATTGGAAGTGGGGGCAGCCTTGTAGAACTGAGCTCTCAACCTGTGGGATCTGACGCTGTATCCAGGTAGATAGTGTCAAAATTGAATTGGAGGACACCTAGATGGTGTCCAATGCAGAACTGATTGATTGGTTGCAGAGGAAGGGAAATCTCCCCACCCTTATTTGTGACCAGAGATCAAAGAAGTCTTCTATGTAACTGATTTTGAGAGAACAGGAAAATCACTTTGATACGGTTTTTATTCCTATATTCTCAGAATCACCTTAATCAAGTTCTTAAACTTAGCCTCAGCAATATGAGGACCTATTGCCATCATGTACCTCTTGATGTGATGCATGGGGAGCATACAACATCACCTTTGTGGTGTTCTAGGCAAATTTGTTAAACATGGATCCAATCATGAGGAAACTATCAGGCCAATGCAGAATATGGAACATTCTACAAAACAACTGGCCTGGACCCTTCAAAAATGAAATGTTATGAGGGAGGAATTTTTTTAAAAGGCAAGGAGATCTCTTCAGATTTTAGGAATGGTATGGCAATGGCAACCAAATGCTATGTATGCATCTTGATCAGGTCCTAGGTTTTAAAAAAAACAAAAAACAGCTATACAGAGCATTTTTAGGACAACTTGGGATATTTGAATGTATTGTACATTAGACTATATTATTGAATTAATGTTAATTTGGGGGTGTGATCATTTTATTGTAGTTGGGGTGGAGACTGTCCTTATTCTTAGGGATGATTCAGTATTTAGGGGTAAAGAGTCATAAAGTTTGCAACGTACTTTGAATTGCATTCAGAAAAAAACATAGAAGAGAAAGCTAATGTGGCAAAATGCATATGAGCATTCAGAGTATTTTTCTTTATGTTACTGAGGGCATAAAAAATTTTTTTAAGTTGGGATAGAAAGTGAAAAACTAGAAATGACTATAAAAGTCTTATTTATCTATTAACTAACAATAGATTAGAGTGAGAATCTCTTTCTTTCGTCGGCATTTCATTCTTTGGTCAGCATTTATCAAGGGACCATGGGATATAAAGAGCTAAATTATAATTATTTTCTTGTACCTGATATAGATGATATGGATCAAATTTCTGACTTGGTCATTTTCTTTCCAGCCCTGTTATCCTGCCATACTACTCCATAACTGGTTTACAAGGCCTCACAGTATATGGACCCGTCGAAGGCTCTTACCTTGTATTCATAGCTATGGCCATGAAAGTGAACGGTGTGCATGTCAGCTTCATCTCCCATGCCAATCAGATACCAATTCACTACATCCCCAACGTGAAATGTTAGACCTTGGTTATTTCCAAACAGTCTTCCATTAATTGCTGTGGGTGGCAGGGAAAGGCACAGTTTATTATATTCAACAAGGATTTAAAATAATGTGGGCTTTTTAAAAATAACCACTTTATAAAAGCATAATCATCCTTATAGAAAATATCATGAATGTTTTCAGAAGCAATGGGGATTTTAAAGCCAGCCTGAGGAAGCTGTTAAATGTGACCAAGACATCCATTCATGGATGTGTCTAATTCTAAGGAGTTTGTTTTGCCCAAGGAAATCAGGCACTGACTTTGTGTTAACATGATCGGGTTGAATTTGACTATTTCACAGCTAAGCATACTTATATTGGTGAATTGTGTATTTAAAATTATCACAAGAGGCTTAGAATATCAGGAATGGCCAGGCATGGTGGCTCATGCTTTTAATCTTAGCACTTTGGAAGGCTGAGGCAAGACGATCACTTGAGTTCAGGAGTTCAAGAACAGCCTGGGCAACATAGTGAGACCCTGTCTCCATAAAAGACAAAGAAAAATATTAAGAGCGTGCATTCTTATTTAACTGCCCTAAGTCAAACTTCTGTGATCTGCCACTTGTATGTCTGGAATGGCCATTTGTGAGGTCCGGGCCCCCTCTTATCCTCTATAGGTGTGGTCTCCAAAGGGTAATGTAAATAAAATATGAAGATTATATATACACACATACACACACACACACACACATACATACACACACATACACACACACATATCCTCTTTTTACTTTGCTATTTTGTGTGCATTTTTTAAATGTATAAAATGCATTGGTACAGTGGTGCAAGTATATAATTTATAACTAATATATCTATGGAGGCTAAACTCTAATGCTTTCAGCTGATGGAGGGATGTAATAGAAGAAACTAGAAGACACTGCTCTAGACTAGTGCTTCTCACACTTTAATGTGAATATGGCCTGGGGATTTTGTTAAAATTCAGATTCTGACTTAGGTCTGTGAAGCCTGAAATTCTGTATTTCTAGCAAGCTCCCAAATGATGCTCATGCTGCTGGTCCTTGGGCCATACTTGGAGTACAATTGCCCAGACGAGTACCAGAGTTATTCCTAAAATCTATCCCCACCAAGCTCAATATACTTGGTGCTTTAGTACAGTGGTTCTCTACAGGAGGTGATTTTGTTCCACAGGAGACATTTGGCAATGCCTAGAAATATTTTTGGTTGTCATAACTTGTGGGGAGCTGCTACTGGCATCTAGTAGGTGGAGGATATAGATGCTGATAAACATCTACAATGCACTGGATAACTCCATACAACAAAGAGTTATTTAACCTAAAAGGTCAGGAAGTTAAGAAACTCTGGTTTAGATTAAGTCTAAATTCTTAACAAGGTGTTTGAGGTCTTCCACAATTCTGTTGGCTCTTTCTTCCCAAGTGCCATGTGACTTAGATCACATTCTTCCATCTACCCAGAATGTCATATCCCTCCTTTTCTAAGTGGACAGACTCCTATGCAACCTTAAAAAATCAACTTGAATGTCTCTTCCCTATCATGAAGCCTTTCCAAATCTTCCAAATAAGGATTTAAAGCACTGCACTGTGTTTAAATTCCCATGACAGCATCCCATCCCGCGTCATACTCCTTGGATTGTCGCAAGTCTGGCGTCCCTTAGACTGTAAACAACATGAGGGCAGATGACCCATATTATGGGCCTTTGTATCTCTTTAGGGCCTTGCAAGGTGCTTTGTGCCCTCTATGACACTTATTAAAAAGACTATTGGTAAAATGGATGTCACCCTTGACATATATTTCTAAAAATATTTACATATATTTCCAAAAAGGAAAAAAAAAAAACCTTAGAAGTGGGAAATTACTATATTTGAATTTGCCTTAGTTAAGGATCTTTTACCCAGTCATATCTCTGAACCCCCTCAGCTGAGCAGCTTAAGACCAGACGTTTCCCTGGCTAAGAAAGTGAGATTGTTTATGTGCTTTCTATTGGAATAATTGTCTTGTTACTGTGATTCTAGATGGGGGGAGGTCATCTAGATGTACCTAGATGCATCTAGTCACAGTCAACCTATAAAATAATTTTGGTTGATGAACATGAAGTTTTCAAAACTTCTGCCTGTGAAGGTAATGTGATGGAAGGGTGAGGCCATGTTCACTTTGGTTTGCCCCAACCCCCACCTCTCCCTGTGTTCATCCAGGCAAAATACTTAGAAAATTATGATAGTAAGGCCTTCCTGAAATGACAGCTGATGTTCCTGGTTTTACATTGTCTGCATAGCTCTAGAAAGCATGAGCATTTGCTGTGCTGGCTAAGTCAGTAGTCTGTGGCATATGGGCAAGGCCCAACACACTGCCTCTGTTACTGCAGCCCATGAGCTAAGAATGGTTTTAAAATTTCTAAATCGTTGAAAAAAAAAGGTAAATAATATTATTTCTTGACATGGTATATGAGATAAAAATTTCAGCATCCATAAATGAAGTTTTTGGCTCTCAGTCACTTTCATTTGCTTTCCTATTGTCTATGACCACTTTCGTTCTACAGTGGCAGAGTAGAGTATGGCTTATGACAGAGACCATGTGGCCTGCAAGCCTAACTTCTTTACTATCTGGCCCTTGCAGAAAAAATTTGCCGACCCCTGGTCTACATGATCTATACCAGTCCTATGTAGTTGAATTCTATAAACTGTGCTGAGTGAGGCCCTTTCATCTGTTTCATTTGTGCACAGCAACCTGTGCGTTACCATTGGTGAGTCAGTGAGTGAATGTTACCATGCATGTGGTTGCTGAGTTGAAAATTATCATCTTCCTTGTCCACTTTGTTTGGCTCTGAAGCATAGGTGTTGATATTGTCTTCAAAGTACCAGGATTCATTCTCATCGAAAACCATGAAGTGGAGAACACGGTGAACTATGTTGGGGCTGATGTCTTTGCGGCATACAATCAGAGGGCCTACCAGTCCACTGTAGAGGTCCTGAGGAGGCAAAGCAAGATAATTCACTGTGGCCACAACTAACATTTTCCCTCACAAAATAAAAGAGGTAGATTCAAGTTTTAGTTTTTAATGAGGTCAGATCCTGAGTTTTTAATTATCAGGATTCTGAGAGTGAGGAACAAAATGTTTGACGTGCTCAAGGCTTGATTGAAGAAAAATTGTAACCTCATTCATTAGAGTTGAAGTCTAAAGAGAACACCAGACCTCTGAAAGGGATTTTAGATACATTTTTCAGTGGATTTAGCTCTATTTTTGACATTTTAATAAAAAAAGAATTTTGGTTTTAATTAGAATTCCTGGCATTGAAGTTGGTTGGCAGGAAGTCTAAAGGAGTTAGTCCCTTCACCTTTGTGCTTTTGCCCCTGCAGCAAATTTTAGTTGAGAGTCTTCATTTTGTTTTTGAATTAAATCTCTGTGTAGATTCTTGTTCCAGACAGAGTAGGCCAAGATAAGAGTTCAAACAGAACACTTGCACTGTTTTTTTTTTAGTGCAAATAAACCTGAACCCTATAATTGAGGGTTTTAAATATAAACACACACATACACCCCCTACACACACACACACAATATGTATATATTCATTTCTTATTAATCATAGAATTATACCATTCTTCATTTATTATTACTATTGTTACTATTATTATTATTATTTAGAGACCAAATCTTGCTGTGTCACCTAGGCAATAGTGTGACCATAGCTCAGCATAATCTTGAACTCCTGGACTCAAGCGATCCTCCTATCTCAGCCTCCCATAGCTAGGACTACAGCACGTGCCACTGTGCCTGGCTAATTTTAAAATTTTTTGTATAGACATCAACCACCACATCCAACTGAATTTTAAAATTCTTTACAGTATGTTGTTTTCTGTAATCCAAATACTATTCAGTGGAACAAAGTATAGTCTATTGTTGTATAATTAGTTATATTTTTCAATTCACAGTGAGATTATGCAACGAATTATAAACTTAAGTAACCATAATGTAATAATTTCTTTTGCTTTTGAAAAACGCAGACCCATGTAGGAATAAGAGCTGAACAGTAGTTAAGTTACTTAATAGAAAGTTTACACAGAACTAAGATTTTTAAGAACAATGATAAACACCTTCTTTCTTCCATTAAAATTTCTAAGAGGAGATAGGATAATAACTCTTATTTGATTTAAACTTTACCTTAGCCACAGATACAGTTGAATAGTAAAACCAAGGTATGCATTCAAAGTCCAGTGAGGTAGGACCAGTTCTATCAGGTATCTGCCAATTATATATTTGAATCTCTCCTGAAATAGACAAATGAAGTGTATTTAAATAGAGCTTTTAAAATCAGACTTCTTTATGGAGAACCAGACGATGAGCAAACACTAAAGCTATAAAAATAGTAGGCAGCATAGTCCTAGCTTTCACTTCTGGTTTCACTTCTTGCTTTCTGATCTTAGTCAGTGTGGCAATTACTCAATGTGACAAAGCCTTGAATCCCAGCTCTGAACCTTCCAATGTGTGGATCACATGTACCTCCTCCCTGACCTCAAGGCTGTGCATATTAGTCCTATTGGATCTTAATTCTATATTCTTGCAGTAAAGTTCTTTTGCTCCCTCCCCACCATGATCCTGTGTCTCCCACTTCCAAAGCTCCATGGGAGTTATAGTCCTGTGACATTAACCAACCCTAACCCCAGCTCCCAAATCTGTAACAATCTACTTAGCACTAACCCTTGCATTCCAGTACACCACACAATGCCTGGCATATAGCAGGTAGAGTACTCAGAAGTGTTTGTGGAATGCATGTAGTAGATCCTTTCCTAACTAATCAGAACAGAGGGCTGACTTGCAAACTCCCTTAATACGAGACTCAACAGACCATAAGACTGTTTTTAAAAACAAAAAGAAATATTTTGCCCACCATCAAAGTCTATCATCAGTCCCTCTGCTTTACAAATCATTTCTTTCTGAATTTGGCTTTCATTGATACTCTTAATTTCCAAAACTACTTGTTTTGGTGAGCAACTATAGTGGACATTCTAGCACATCCCTAGATCCCCAATCAAGAATGAAGAACATTTCACTCCAGCAGGTGTCAGCCCGCTTTAGAGAGAGACTTGGCTGAAGAAAGCCACCTTGCTCAAGATTGCATCTAATAACTGCTGCAGGGACATAACAGCCCAGCTCTCTCACTCCAGCTTAGGACAGCTGAGGGTCACCCTATCATCAGAGCGGGGTTGACTGTGACTTCTGTTGAGGCTGCATCTCTGCTCAACCTCACTCCCTGTCCAATCCTACTCATTTCTCATTCTTTCCATACTAGCTGATTCCAAGAGCACTATCTACACACAAATCCTCATATCAGAGTCTGCTTAATGGACATTTTTTATTAAAAAATATGAATGTTCTTCTGAGTTAATTATGTTGAATGGCATGCTGTGTAGCAGTGATTCCATTTCATGGAAATGTTAATACATGGGGTCCATCATTTCCTCTTATTGGCTCAATCCTCCCCTGCTTTCTCACATATTGCATCTTGTACTCAACTCCTACTTTAGCACCTTAGTTGGAGAGATTGAATATAGTATAAGAATACCTGGCAGCTGGACAGGTAAAGAGGTGGAAGGGAGGGTGGATCTAGAGGAGAAATTGATACACTGGGGAGGTGGTCCCTGAAGACCAAACCTTCACTTCACAGTTTTGCTCATGGTGCCCCAATCTGGAAGTAAACTTGACTTGCAGAAGGAACTTCCCCGCCAAATGCTTTCTTCAGGCCCATCTTACTAGTCCACTGGTCTCTCTCATCTGGAACTGCACCCATATATTTAAAAGAACATTAGCCTCGTAGTCCTGCATAAAAGCTTTGGGGATTTTTTTTTTCTTCCAGAGTAATTACCTGGCTGAGTTGGAACAACAGTGGAATTATTTGTTTTCACTCCATGAGCATGGATAGAATACGGTCTTGAGGCTTTATTTTTAAAGATAATTTGAATTCTTTGACCAGGGTTGAGCAATATTAATGGACCTAGGGAATATAAAAAGGAATATGTCTGGATAATTGTTATTTATTTTAAATTATGAGTCATCTGTCTTCTTAAGTATTTACACAGTGACTTATTCTTATCCTTTTACTTAACATGCAGCCAAATGAAATAAAAACATTTAACAAGTAGATCACTGCTGATTTATGAGACATGATTTTTGCCTGAAATTTTTAAATCATTTAGAATTTTATGAGTTTTTGTTTTGTCTTGTTTTTGCCAGAAAACTTCTTTTAATGAACATCGGTTTATGCCTAGGAAAACATACAATTTAAAGATGAAACCCTTTCTATTCTTTGTTGACCAATCTCAAATTTCAAGGCTTTTATTCTCTTGCTCCTTATTCTACTGGAGGATTGCAAGGAGCTGCAAGGCCTGTTTATTGACCCAAAGTGATTTTCTCTCTTACAGACTAAAAACCTTCATTTTACTCTCTCTCCCTTTCATCCTAAGCCAAGAACTACAAGTATAAAATTAATTTTAAACCTTCTTTCTATTTGGAAGCAGATTGAATCAGTGGCTCTGAAAACTTCTGAAACACAGGTGGTTTTGAGATAAGATAAGCAGCAAGAACTCTGCAAACCTGTGCTACAGTTACTAAAATTAGAGCCCTGAAGATGCCTGCTGGTGGCTAAATGCTAGCTAAAGACAGGGCCTCTTTGCTGCCTGTGACCATTTCACCTCCCCAAACAATATGCATGTTTTTTCTTTTTAATAAGTGTTTTCCTTTTTGCATACATAATAATAGAACCTTGAGGGTCAGATTGCATTATTTCTCTTCATGCATTCAGCCAGAATCCTAGAGAAAACAAACATCCTGTGGCTACTAAAGATAGGAGCCCACTCAAAAGCAGCAACAACAGGATAGCATAGGCTTCCCTCCAAAGAGGCTTCCCTCCAGGGCTCACAAAGAGACAAGCTCTAGAGGCTCACGGAGAGCCAAGAGGAGCAAAAGTTCCTCTTCATCAGCATGTAAATCCATCTCCTCAGAGTCCCACATCATAAAATAACCTCTAACATACACATAGATATTAAGACTGAAACAGGAGTTGGTCGTGTGGAAATGTCGCATGTGGGCACCTGGGGTGACTCAGAGGTTTCCTAGTTGATCTATCAAGGGTGGAAGAAAGAGTTGTAATGTCCTCACTCAGACAGAAGACACTTCAATTTACATAAAGAAGTACCTTTCCTCACTCTACTAGGGTCCCCTGGACTTTGTTTTAATTTTATTGAAATGATCCCTAAATGCTACTTCTAAACTCCTTTCTAGAATTTTTTTAATTCCGAGAGCAAGAATCCAGATAATCTGACACTGAGCACATTACTTTTCCACATTCTCCTTATTTTTTAGGAAACAACACTTGAATCTTTTTTTTCCCCAGTGAAAATGCCTATCAGCAAACAAATTAGAATTACAGGAACTTTCCTCTTTCAAAGTAGAGGTTGACAACGGCCTCCATGCGTACAACAATTTCTAATGGCTGAGGACAAGAAAAACTCGAAAACCAATCTTATGGCATATCAATACCTAGTATATCGAGATGTTTTTCATCTTCATTCCTTTTTGTTTGATTTGTGAACGTGTCATCATCATATTGACGATATAAGACTTTCTTGTATTTGGACCCAAGAAGTGTTCCACTTTTATCCACAAACATGCTCGTTTGGCTTTAAGAAAATAAGAGCAAAAACAAAAAAACCCCACAAAGTTAGTTAATTTAACCATTAATTTAGACAAAGAACTCATATGGAAGAACTTCTTATATCTGGAAGCGGTTTTACCTAAAAATATAAGTCATCTTTTTAAAAAATATATTAATTCTAGCAAGATAGTTATTCACTCTACATTTTAAAGCATATTTTCTGGATAAAATTTAGTTTTTATAAATAAATAGTAAGAGAGAAAAACCAGAAAAAGAAATCAAATTGTACAAAAAGAGAAAAACGGGTGTCTTTAATTTGCAGTTCTCAGAAGAACAGAGGTAGAAGAAAATGAAGACAAAAGAAAAACCTGACAGATTGTAAATACTGAAAGTAGCTGAAGTTATGTTACTATTCCTGTGGTGAGATCAGACAGTAACATATGTCCAGGAAGGATGCATGAAGTGAAAAGACAAGCAGGAAGAAATGAAGCCCATAAGTAAGTTATATAGATATTTAGAAAGATTTGAAGCCCTTTGCAATTGAATATGTCACACACACGCGCGCACACACACACACACACAAATTTTGAAGTGATTTATAATTGAGAATATCCTAAACACACAAATATCACACCTATATACCCATTATGCACACATACACCGTAACAAACACAAGTATACCACACACACCCACCATACCAAACACAAATAAATACAACACAGACAGACACAGACACACACAGACAGATTGAAAGGAAAGACAGGAAGACTCAGAAAGAACCCTTAGAACCCTTCCCATTTAGAGACTGGAGCTATCACCATACTTCTCTCTTTGTAAGCGGTGGAGTTCATTCTCCCACTTTCTGCTAGGAGAATAATCCCATTCCATTTCCTCGGCTGCAATGTAAATAATTTTCTCCTCCTGGTATTGTGTTTGATCAGGGTTTGGCTTCCCACATTGCCTCACGTGATATTTATGTTTCATGCCTCCTAGATTGTGTTTTATTGTTATGCAAACCAAATCAAAAGTTCCTGCAGACGAATAAGAAAGGAATGGTTAAAGCTTTGCCTTCAGATTTCTTTCCTCTGTAAAATTATTCATAAGCTGCAACCCTCAAAAGAAGTATAGTAAAATCATTCATTCATTCTTTCATTAATTCAACAAATATTTATCGATCACCTTCTTTGTGTCAGACGTATTTCTAGGCATTCAGGAAACATCAGACAACAAAATAGTTAAAAATTCTTGCTCTCAGAGTTCATATTGCAAGGTGTTGTGGAAACAGACAAGAAACACGTTAAGCAACTTGTATGTATGCTGGAAGGTGATAAGAGCTATGATTAAAGAAAAAAAGGAAAACAGCATAAGGAGGACTGAGAATTCTGGTTGTGTGTTGGGAAGGGCTCAAGAGAGCAGTGAGCAGTATCATGGGTAAGTAGGGTAGGCCTCGATGAGAGGGTGATATCTGGGCAAAAATTTATAAGAGATGAGGTGGGTCTGGAGGAAAAGTGTAAAAGTGTGTTCTCTCTAGGCAGAAGAAACAGGTAGCAAAGGCCCCAGGCCAGGAGTCTGTTTGGTGTGTATGAAGACCACCCAAGAGGCCAGTGTGTCTGGAGGGAGGGAGAGGGTGAGAGTACTAGTGAGCGGAGGGCCAGGTCGTGGAGCTCTTGTGGGCCACTGAATACATGATAGCTTTCACTGAGTGAAATGGAGAGCCACTGTGGGATTTTAAGTCAATGAAGGGTATAAGGACACTCTAGCAGCTGTGCTGAGAATAGACTGGCGTGTACAATGGTGGAAGAAACGGGATCTGTTGAGAGACTATCAAAAATAATCGATGAGAGATGATGGCTTTGATCAGAGTGGCAGATAGCAGAGGAGGGAGTGAAAAAAAGTTGAATACATTAAAAATACATTAAAAATCCAAAACAATGACAAAAACTAAAACAAACCACCATAACAAAAAAAAACTCTAGCCTGATTCCGACCAGAACATTCCACCTGAATTCCAGTTTTCTTTCTTTTACCTTGGTAATTTTAGGCCCACCACGTGCTGACACTGCTTCTTGACGAATGCTCTTTTCAACTCTACATATTTCTGTTGTTCCTGTGACTTTTGTTGAGGGTAAGGTTTAAGAAGATGTACGAGAAAGCAAAACCTTCAGACTCAGAGGGTTTGAGAAAAAGAATTTGTTTAAAACTAAATAATCCCTGTACAAGCTCTAGCACCATGTTTGACATATAGTGTACATGTCTCCACTTGTTTGCTACAGTTGATATGCCTTGGAAAAGAGAATGAGACAAGGTAGTTTTTAAATCCAGAAAAACACCTGCATGGGAGAGGTGAGGAAGGACTGGGGCAGGAAAAAGAAATAACTTGTCCCTGAATGAGCATGCAGGTGCATCTCTAACAAAGAGGAGGGAAAAAAAGCACCAGAGAAAGATCTCTCTCTTTTTTTTTTTTTTTTTTGAGACTGAGTCTTGCTCTGTCGACCAAGCTGGAGTGCAGTGGTGTGATCTCTCACTGTAAGCTCCACCTCCTGGGATCACACCATTCTCCTGCCTCAGCCTCCTGACTAACTGGGACTACAGGTGCCTGCCACTACGCCCAGCTAAGTTTTTTGTATTTTTAGTAGAAATGAGGTTTCACTGTGTTAGGCAGGATGGTCTCGATCTCCTGACCTCATGATCCACCCGTCTCAGCCTCCCAAAGTGCTGGGATTACAGGCATGAGCCACCGCACCCGGCCAAAGATCTCTTTCTTTTCCCCTCCAATTACTCTGAATCACAAATTTTGTTTGTTTGAAAAGTAAAATTTTAAATGTTGAAATGAAGAAAATGTAGTCAAATGAACATCTGGCATCACAAAGAGTCAAGATACCAATTCATGGTATTTACACAGTAGTTTATCATATAGCCTGGTTTTGGTTGGTATCAGTCATTTTTGACCAAGATAGATGGATTTTGGGGGGACAGGTGTAAAGGACAAGGGTTGATCTACTAGATTAAAGAAGGAACTCGCATTTATTGAAAGTCTAACATATGGCAGGCACTTTACTATACTTTACCTATCTCATTGATCATTGTCTATTCCTTTTTGCAAATTACAAGTTTTTACAATTGCTATTTTACAAATGAGGAAATGAGGTTCAGAAAGAAGGCTGGTTTCCTTTGATCCCCACACAGTTCTTTGATACGGGGCGCCTTCTTAAAAAAAAAAATGTTGCCAGCAAGGATCAACCTCACTGAAGCTAAAACGTTGATCTAGAGAGCAAAGCAAGTAAGGAGGATAGAAAGAGGAAGGCACAAGGCAGCAGGGTAAGGTCGAAGCAGGAGGAAGGTCTGGGAAACAAATGGACCGAAGAGTAAGAAATGCAGAAGACAACAAAATGAAGATGAGTTTAAAGGGCTTAAAACATCTGCATCATGTTTGAAGAGCATTGGGATGGTTTAAAGCCTAAAGAACTAGGAAGAGGACCTGAAAAAACAGACGGGATTTATGTGTACAGGAAAATGAGACACTAAGGCTCTTATAAATGAAATGGAGTAGGGCAAAGGTTTCTCAAGCATTGTTTGTATCAGTTCAATTTTTTTTTTTTTCTGTACAGAATATTCAGTGCATATAAAGATAGTGCTTCTGCATACTTTAATGTTTCAGGCTGAATGAAAAGACCCACTGCTCACCTATAGAATCAGGTGTCATCAAAAGTGTCTGAGAAGTATGAGGAAACACAGGTATTGTGTCCTTTCTTGCTCCTAAAGAAGTGAAGGTATTTCCTGAAAAATATATCCCGTGTAAATCTTCCACTGATCCTACACTAAAAACGTGCCACAAAACGTTGTCTCCTAAGCACATATCCAATCCAGGCAGATTTCCATACATGTATCCATTTATGGCTGTAAGGCATTTGTAACAAAGGAAAGAGTATTTAATGTACTGGTACTTGATATCTTTTGAAACCCAACAAAGTATTAATCATGAAGCAGCTCATTCATGTAAAAAAAGCAAAGCAATTTTGTCAATTTTCCTCTCCTCTATTGTTATTTAATCACTTCATGGGGGCTAAAAATGACATTATAGAATTAGAGAATGACAGAATTCCATGATACTCTCACTGGGTTATTCCAGTCAAGCCCTTCCTTTTAGAGTTGAGGAAACCAAGGCCAGAGAAGTAGTTACTTGTCCAATGTCATATGGCTAATAAACTAAAATGTTAAGACCAAAGTCCAAGTCTCCAGATTGTGGATCAACCCTTTTCCCACTGCACTGTACAGTCTTCAAAAACCAACAACCAACCAACCAGCCACCTACCAACCCACCCAACCAGCTCAACAAACACCCTACTCCACCCACTCTTCGAATTTGGCAATAGAGAAGTACGTGACCTTTCACATTTAGCTATAGATAAAATATATTGCACCAAGAAGGTGTTGGTAAATATTTGGTAAGTTAAATTCAAAATAATCACCCTAGCAGATAATATTCTTCTTAGGAAATGATATTTATTTATTATGTGTATATATATATATATTTTTTGAGATGGAGTTTTGCTCTTTTTACCCAGGCTGGAGGGCAATGGCACGATCTCAGCTCACTGCAACCTCTGCTTCCTGGGTTCAAGTGATTCTCCTGCCTCAGCCTCCCAAGTAGCTGGGATTACAGGCATGCGCCACCACTCCCGGCTAATTTTTGTATTTTTAGTAGAGACGGGGTTTCACCATGTTGGCCAGGCTTGTCTCAAACTCCTGACCTCAGGTGATCCACCAACCTCGGCCTCTCAAAGTGCTGGGATTACAGGTGTGAGCCACCGCACCTAACTGGGAAATGATATTTAAAGGAAACATAAGTGTATTAGCCAACTGTTGTGGGGAAAACCTAAGTCCATTTTAATCCATAGTTCTTTAGGCAAAATAAAATTCAGTGTTTAATGCATTTATCTTGTAAGTTAAATTGTTTCTTACAGTACATCTTATTTGAGGCTTGGAAGTCTGGATCCTCTTTATCTATGTTTTCAGGCTCTGTGATAAATGTTCTGATATTTTCCTCCAAGAGATCACTTTCATTTTCATCAAATATTGTGGCAAGTAGGTAAAACTCTTTGTCTACTCCTTTCTGTGGAAGAGAATAGAAAAAGGAATAGACATGAAGTATAGACGGTCCATATTCAAATCTAGCCAAATGGTTGATCTGCATACAGTGTTTCCCACACAAGGAGATTGTGTACTTGTGAAAAATTTGATCAATGGACTTCCTGATTTTGGATAGTCCATAGAAAGGCACAACTCCCAGTGAATGAATTATCACAGAACTAAGAAGTTGGGAGAAATCTCTGTGACTTTTTTAATATAAAGTGTTTACTCCAGAGATTCCTATATCTAAACTTCATAAACTAAACCATAAGATGTTTATAGTGGCTTTTAACATAATGTACTCTATGGAAAGTAAGTTAAATAAATAGTTTTCAATTCTAGAAAGTCTGAATTTTTAGGGCTTTTGAACAAATTTAATATAAACATATTACTAGATTAAATGTAAAAATTATATGTGTTATAAGAATGATGACACTATAAATATGACTCATTATATAGATAAATATAAATATATATTTATAAATTTGAATAAGATATACATTGTTATATATGTATGGATTTATAAAGCTTTGTTACCTATACTTTTTATATAAATGTAGAAAAGAACTAGATATTAGTTCACTTCTGAGTGAGAAAAAAGGGAAATTCATTTAACTAACATTTATTGAGCACCTATTATATGCCCAAGAAGAGCTGTGGTTATTATTAAAAAATTAATAAAATCTTGTTTATACTTTCTAGAAACTTTCTAGAAAACCTTGTGTATACTTCCACTAGAAACAGCCTAGTGGAAGAAACAGGCCAATGAAAACAATTGCATGGATAAATATGCTAATAGAAACATACCTAAGGGACTATGGTAACCTGCAGGAGCTTCAACTGACATTAGTCAGGAAACATTGTCCAAAGGAAGGTACTCTCAGTCTGAGTTTCAAAAACGTCTCCCACTTTTGGCAGATAAAATAGTGAGGAAAGGCCATTCCAGATGGAGAGAAGAGGGGAAAATCAGAGAGGTCAAATAACCTTCCTTACTCAGGGCCTAAGGAGCTAATTCCACCATAATGCAGAATTCTACTTTGCCATTTAGAAGAAGCTAATTCTGCAGTGTAGGGGTAGGAGGGGACATAAATCTGAGGGAATTGTCAGGATCTGATGTGTTGGTTTCTGCGTCAACAAATTGTGGGGAGATTTTCTTTCAGGAGTGCTATAACCAGATTCCTTAGGGAGGGATGTGGACTAGCTGTACTAAAGCAAGATAAGAGTGGAGACGGAAGTTAAGAATGAAAGGAATTCAGAAAGAGATGATAGTGCCTAAAATAATGCAGAGGTATTGGAGACTTAGTGATCAATGTGTATGTGAGACAGAAGGAGTTGTTGACGAAAGTCCAAGGTTTGGTGATATTATTAACTAAGGCATAGAGCAGAGGAAGAAAAGAGGCTGATTTAGGAAAGGGAGGGGCGGTAAAGGTCTGCCCAAAAGGATGAGATGTCTGTGGGACATGCCAGGGTGCACGTTTATTGGGCAGAACCAGGTGTTTAGTTGAGGAAAGAATAGAATTGGGAGACATCAGTACACAGAAGTTGAAGCTGCTGATTCCTCTGGCCCTGAGACATTGTCATTCCTCTGCAGTTCTGTCTCAGGCACCTCTCACCAAGGGTTACCTGGCCATATGCCTCAGGACTCACCTGTTTGCCATCCTCTCCAAGACTTCCATTTCTACATACAAGGAGAGGCCCCAGAAGGCCACTGTTGATGTTTCTTTTCTCATTTACTGAAGAGTAATAGAACCAGGTCAAGCAGGTGGGATCTGTGGAGGTGGGACCCACATCTTTTGGAACTTCCCATGTATAGACAAATGTTGTGCCAGGATTTACATGTGAAGAGGGTGGAGGGGTACCTAACAAGAAATAAACATTTATAGAATATAACCTAAAACCATAAGTACACTAGTCTAGGCTGTGAGATCTCTGAGAGCAAGAACAGATCTTTCTCTTTGGGTGACAGTTGAATAGGAACTAAAGTAATAACTCTGCCACAATAAGTATGCAGAGCTGTTACACTGTGACAGGTAGGCTGCACAATAGGAGTTATATTTCTTGCTGGCATTATATGGCGGTATGGCTCACTTGGACCTCCCTTTGAGCTCTACTTACTTTCTCCAGGTGTTTTGTAGAATGAGCCCTCTTTGCTCTTGTTGTAAAGGAGTCCATGAGGCTGAATGCTGAGTGGTAGGGAAGCGTTGTTATAGAAAGTGATTTTGATGGTCTGTCCCACCTCTGCCTTAATAACAGGGCCTAGAAACCAACAGAGTTAGTAATTCATTGTCAAGCTGTGTTACTTGAGTAAAGTTCTTTTAGGAAGAAATTAAAGGGATGATGCCATGAACCCAGAAATGGTTGCAACTGCAAGAAGACTAGATGATTCAAGGTCTTATAAAGTCACTTTGGATCAAAGATATTAAATATTAGATGAAGATTAGTCTCTTTGGATTTATAGGAACAAAGAACGTAGTTAAAATCACGGTGGGCTGGGCTCAGTGGCTCACGCTTGTAATCCCAGCAATTTGGAAGGCCGAGATGGGCAGACGGCTTGAGCCCAGGAGTTCGAGACCAGCCTGGGCAACATGTTGAAACCCGGTCTCTACAAAAAATACAAAAATTAGCTGGGTGTGGTGATGTGTGTCTGTGGTCCCAGCTACTTGGAAGGCTGAAGCACAAGAATTGCTTGAATCTGAGAGGAGAGATTGCAGTGAGCTGGGATTGTGCCATTGCACTCCAGCCTGGGCAAAAGGGTGAGACCCTGTCTCAAAAAAACAAAACAAAAACATCACAAAAATTAGCTGAGTATGATGGTGCGTTCCTATAGTCCCAGCTATTCCAGAGGCTGAGATGAGAGGATCATTTGAGCCTGAGAGGCAAAGGTTGCAGTAAACAGAGGTCACACCACTGCACTCCACCCTGGGCAACAGAGCAAGACCATCTCAAATAAAATAAAATAAAATAAAATAAAATAAAATAAAATAAAATAAAATAAAATAAAGTCATTGGGTGAATTGATGTATTATTTTCATAAAGCTATAATATTATCGCTAAAATCTCTAACTGGGTTGATGAATACTATTTTGATTGCAGAATATTTATAAATAATGTTTATAACCCCACAAGCTATGAACAGAATTTTACCAAGGATTCCAAGGTGTTCTTCTCTTGCCTTCTGTGTTTGGAAGGAAGCATCTATATATTCACGGTAAACCAGTTTTTTGTAAGTTCCTCCAATTCTGGTTGGACTTCGTTCAAAAAATAACTGGGATTTACTGTGCAGAGAAGGTAGATACACAAAGAACTTTTATATTTACAGTCATCATGTGAAAAGATAGAAAGAATCCAAACACATCTGTTTAAAATATTTGTAATTTATTTCTGATTATAAAAGTAATGCATGCTCATTATCCAAAATTTGAAAAAGAAAGAAAAATACAACAAAGAAAACAGAAATCTACATAATCCCACCATCTATATGTTACCACAGCCAATATTTTATGTAAATATCCTTTCAGTCTTTTGTCTATGCACATATATATAATTATCTATATGTATTTACCTACTCATTTGTCTGAAAACTTTCTTTTGGAATAAAAATTAAAAAGGTATGATATCTGACTTTTTTTCAGGCAGGTAATAACAAATATTGCCATTAAAACAACTATTTGCAGAGATGCTATAATATTAAAAAGATAGATATTATTTTTAAAATTATTATAATAAAAAGGAGCCTCTGAGAAGAAATATTTCCTAACAATGAAGTGGTAACTTGCTGTGCCAAAACATCATAGAATTTTATAGCCAGGAGGATCAAGCAAAATG